TGCACCACCAGGGAGGGCCGAAGTAGATAGTCTTAAAGGAGAAAGATGAAGGAAGAATGGGTATGTGAAAGGTCAATGATACATTATTAGAGCTGCAATTTAATATCAATTTATATGAGAAGAATACAAGCCAACTCATAATTAACATAGATACTTGCATGCAAATAACTATGCAAAAAGAGGCCATGGATACTTGTAAGCAAGCATGCTGGCCAGCCCCTGTCCTTTGCTCTTCTCTAACACCTACAAATGTTGTACCTGTGTCAACTCTGATGAGATGAGAAAAATAAGGACATACGCTGAGTTTTAAATAAAACTACATTTATTCCATTTAACACTACTTTTATTCCATTTCATTTTCATGGTCTTTTCTTCTTTTTTAGTCCTAAAATATTTCTTATATGAAACAGCAGTGTAGGTGCTTCCTTAGCAACTTAAAAAATTCATCACTCTATGTTGCACCCCTCCCCCTCTTTGGGGGCGAGGGAGTTATAGCACTGATTTGTGAAACTGAAAGGTCTGTTAATCTCCTACCTAGAAAAATTTACACTACATGGTAAAGATTGGGATTACCAATCTTTTCACAATAAATCTCAATCAATTAACATACCTTTGAAAGACTTAATAAAATCTTATTTTCATTCTTAATTTCCTCCACAAAAATTTCTCAGTATATTAAATTGGTCATAACAACTACTGTTAAGTGCTTAGTGAAATACTTCTTTATAGACTTTGGTATTTGACAGGAGAGAATTTTATAGTAGCAATAAATACAGATGGGACTACATAAATCAAGAAGGTCCTGATGCAAAACTCTTGTATTAGATGGCATCTCAGCTTTCTCATCTGAAATGGACCAAGAAATTAATTACAATGTTGATCATAGCAATAAGAAAATGAATTCAAAACACAATTCATGTTTTTTGGAAAGAATCCCTTTGTTCTTTTCACTCACTGTTCACGTCATGTATGCCAGAGTCAACAGACCAAAAGAAGCTCCAAAGAGAAGGCAGTCTTTAGAATGAGAAATATGACTTCTAAACTTGTGAAAGAGCATACAGAAGTGGCTTCCCCCAGGGCAGGCCCTCTCATTCATTTAAACTGTGTGGCAATAAAATGCAGTTGCACATAATTGCTTAAAGAGAGTAGGCATAAGACCAAAGGTATTCTCAGTTCTGAGCAACTTCCAATCTAGCCTCACCTGTTTGAACAAGTTCTTCTCCACCCTCCATTTTTCTCTGAACCCTTTCACCTTCTGGAACCTCTGGTCTCTGGAGGAGTTTGCCCTGATGGGCTTTATGATGTATATACTACTAACACTCCTCTCCTTATGGAAAATTGTTGGTCTCAGTCCAGAATACTTACAGAGCTGTGTTTGTCTGACGATCTTCACCCCTTCTGCAGAGCTAAAAGCAAACACAGGACAGTGAGTTTGCCTGCTTCTCTAAGGCCCTTGGGTAAACATTTTTGACTTTATCAAGGTGGCTCAACACAGGGGTTGTATATATTCACCTCTCTAGTGGCCAAGGTCTTATTTCTCTGGCCACATTAATCATGTTTATTGAACTTAGAGAGGATAGATTTCATAAATCAAAATGCTTCCAGGATTCTTAGGTAGGTGTGTATTTTGGGTTTTTTGGTTTGGATTGGCTTTTTTGTTTTTTGAAAAATTTGCTTTGATTGGAAAGAGAGAGCATAGGGGGGTGAGTTTCTTCTTGGTAGATGTCATTGCCCTGAATAATATCCTGTTATATATTTCAAGGATAATGCCTCTTGCTGGATAATGAACTCAGCTTAGGCCATACTGAGTGTCTGCCATATTTCCCTCCCTTTGGCAGTGGATTGACAAATAGATTGGTATTAACCTATGCCTGCACATACACTCTGCATGCTAACCAACAAGGTTAACCACTCAACAATTCAAACCCTAGCCTGTTGCAGCTGGGGCCTGTGACTATGCTCATGAGGTGAGCAGCAAGTGCCATCTTTTTCATGCTGAACTCTGACTCCAGAGAAGATGATCTTCCTTGTATTGATGTATTGCACCAAGGACACTATAGCAACAATAAAGAAATCTAAAAGGAAGAAAAATCAGTCCCCAAACCTCTAACACTACAGATGTTTTTATTCCCTAGGGTAACTTCTACTTTAGATCTCAGGTAAAGAGGCCAGATTTAGCTTTGTCCAAGAATGGTTCCTAACTGTAGTGATTTATATAGCCAATGCTCTGCCTTTATTTGAACATTTTTAACCTAAATATCTTAGAATTCTTAGGTACCTTCATTATCTTGTTTCTTCTAGCAATGACTCCAAAGCACAGTGTCAGAAAGACCACAACACATGCAGCAATAATAGGTTCTATCGGTACAGTCAGAACTCTATCTGTTGGAAATACAAACACAGGGAATGAGAACATATACTTATATGCACCAGTCATGGTGCCTTGCAATTTACATATATTATCTTTATAATTATATCCTCTCAACAATCTCCACAGGGAAGTATTATTATACCCACCTTACAGGCAGGGAATCAAGGGTTTTGAGGCTAGCTGACTAATCCAAAGTCACAGAACTAGTAAATAGAGACAGGTATGAAGGTTTGAAACTATTCTTTTGTGGAAGGAAATTGATTGTAATATGAATAGCTCCCCCCCAAAAAGTAATAAGATCCTTCCTTAACTCATAATTTTAGACCTGAAGGAAGCAGAAATAGGCTACAATGAATAGTTTTTCCTACCTTTTGAAAAGTCCAAATGAAACTAGGAGGTCTTCCAGAGCAGGGGAACAAAGGGGGGTGGTTTTGTTTTTTTTTTTAAAGATTTATTTATTTGTGCATACAGAACTGGGGTACAGGCCAGAGGCTCAGGAGTGGTGAGAGGCTTCACCAGAAACAGAGTGGGGAACAGAACAGGC